ATGGAATGTTTGCCTCAATGAGTTAATAAGATTAAAAGATGTGCGCAGAGCGCATTAGTGCCAGGCACTTTTAAAGTCTCTTAGTAAACGTTTGATGAGTCTGAAATTGAGGAGGATACAAGTTATTTGAATTGCAGAAAAAGATGGTGAAGGAGAGATGACAGTTTCTGAGAGGAGATAAAAGAAATGAAGTGCGGAAGGGAAGTGAGAGGAGAGAGAAGCCTGCCAGACTGTAACTGTCAGTCCTTCCAAAGGAGACCTGTGCCTTAGTATACTTTCAGCTCTGTCTCCTTGCAGGGTGTTGAGCACATGATGAAAAATGAGTATTTCTTGAATGGATGAATGAATGTGACATAGACCCTGACTTGCTCCCTCATACTGTGATCACTCTATCTAAAATAGAGTCCTTGCATTCAGAATGTTTGTGCAGTCAAACAAATAAAATAGAGTCCCTCTCTCCTGGATTTCCCTGTTCCCCTTATTCTTTTTTTTTTTTTTTTTTTTTTTTTTGAGATGGAGTCTCCTGTCGCCCAGGCTGGAGTGCAGTGGTGCAATCCTGGCTCACTGCGACCTCCGCCTCCCGGGTTCAAGCGATTCTCCTGCCTCAGTCTTTTGAGTAGCTGGGATTACAGGTGCCTGCCACCTCACCCGGCTAATTTTTTGTGTTTTTAGTAGTGACAGGGTTTTGCCATGTTGACCAGGCTGGTCTTGAACTCCTGACCTCAGATGATCTGCCCTCCTTGGCCTCCCAAAGTGCTGGGGTTACAGGCATGAGCCACCGCACCCGGCCCCTGTTCCCCTCATTCTGCTTTATTTTGCTTCGTAGGAGTTAAGAAAAATAGGACGCTGCATTATGTATTTGCTCTTTTATTGTTCCCCCACAAGAATATGAACTCTACCAGGTCAGGGCTCTGCCTGTCTGTTCATGTTGTCCTCTCATTCCCTGGAGAAGTACTTAATAAATATTGATTGATGTCCTGAGCCTGGCAGTTATCGAGTTGCCTTACATAATCTTTACCTCTATGTTTAACATATTGCATCTAACACATAATAATAAGTATTGAGTAGGGATTTGTTGGATGAGTCAGAATTGTTTTCATTACGACTATTTGAGTGAAGAAATGGGACTCAGATGTGGTGATTTGTGGGAGTGGGGTGGAGGGAGGCCAAATGGGACTGGGTTGTGGTGGGAGATGGAGGTGGGCCAAACCTTGTCTCATACCCCTTCCCTTTCCTGCCAGGCTGTGCTGGGGGCCCTGGGCAGGGCCCTGAGCCCCTTAGAGGAGTGGCTTCGGCTGCACACCTACTTGGCCGGGGAGGCCCCCACTCTGGCTGACCTGGCAGCCGTCACAGCCTTGCTGCTGCCTTTCCGATACGTGAGTCACCAGGCCTGGGGAAGAACAAGACTGCTCCCCTCAGACCTCTCTGTAGCGTGACTGAGAATAGTCATTTATTTCCTGTTCCAGGTCCTAGACCCACCTGCCCGCCGGATTTGGAATAATGTGACTCGCTGGTTTGTCACGTGTGTCCAGCAGCCAGAATTCCGAGCCGTGTTGGGAGAAGTCGCTCTATACTCGGGGGCCAGGCCTCTCTCTCAACAGCCAGGTGAGGAAGGGTGAGGAGTTGGAGGAAAGGGGATTCCCTGGGACCTTCCATGCAACTCACTTTCTTTTCTTCTTATAAATGGCAGATTCACTGGCACAGGGGCCTGCGGGAGAGGAGTGGGAGGGGGAGATCAGTATGGGTGAGACCTTGGGCATCTGAAATAGCCCATCTGAAACCTAGTAGCACCATCCAAGAGGGTCCCCAGCTGGCTGAGTCTGAATTTCTGTGCCTCTCTCTAGGCCCCGAGGCTCCTGCTCTCCCAAAGACAGCTGCTCAGCTCAAGAAAGAGGCAAAGAAACGGGAGAAACTAGAGAAATTCCAACAGAAGCAGAAGATCCAACAGCAGCAGCCACCCCCAGGGGAGGTGAGAGGCAAGGGTGGAGCTGGAAGGAAGGCTGGTGTGTACGGCAGTGGGCTGGCTGATGCCTGGGCCTGTGTCTTCTCCCTCCCAAGCAGAAGAAACCAAAACCAGAGAAGAGGGAGAAACGGGATCCTGGGGTCATTACCTATGACCTCCCAACCCTACCTGGGGAAAAGAAAGGTACTAGGAGTGGGAAGGGGCTCACCCCTCAGCTGCTCCCTTTCAAGTTTTCACCCCATCCTGCTCCATTCTTGCTCTCAGCACTTGGTTGGGTGAGGATTTGCAGGCCCCTGCCCCTCCCGAAGGCCCCTCAAATGCCTGTCCTATGATGTGAGCGACAGAGATCCTGATCCTTCTCTGCTGTCACTCCCCCTTCCCAGTCTCCCAGCCATGAGCTCTCCCTCTCTCTCCCCCAGATGTCAGTGGCCCCATGCCCGACTCTTACAGCCCTCGGTATGTGGAAGCTGCCTGGTACCCTTGGTGGGAGCAGCAGGGCTTCTTCAAGCCAGAGTATGGGGTGAGTGGGCACTGCTGCCCAGCCCCAGAGTGGGTGGGGTGGGGGAAAGACTGAAGGATATGTTGCCTGGGAGGGGCTGGGAGAGGTGACCTGAGGCCTTAAACGTGTGCCATCCTTCTCCACCATCAGCGTCCTAATGTGTCAGCAGCAAATCCCCGAGGTGTCTTCATGATGTGCATCCCACCCCCCAACGTGACAGGCTCCCTGCACCTGGGCCATGCACTCACCAACGCCATCCAGGACTCCCTGACTCGGTGGTGAGCTCCTGTCTGTACCTCCCGCTGGTTCCCTCTGACTCCTCTGGCTCTCTCCTGTTCTGACAGCCCTCCAGCCTCTCTCCTTCTGGGTTGGTGCTCACCTCTGCCCCCCAGTGGCGATACACTGCTCTCCGTCATTCCTACGTGATCACTTAGCATCCTCTCCTAGTCCAGTAGTCCCATGCAACACCACCACTTGTAGACTCTCTTCTCTCCCTTCTGTCTTTATTTAATTTACATTTCATTTCATTTCATTTTTTGTACAGGCAGGTTTTCACTTTTTTGCTCAGTCTGGTCTCCAGCTCCTGGGCTCAAGCAATTTTCCTTCCTCGGCCTCCCAGAGTACTGGAATTAAAGGCATGAGGCGCCACACCCAGCCTCTCCCTTCTTTTTCTAGTAACAATAACATTATTTTGAATTTAACTAGAACTGTATGAATAAATTTGTGCGTATATACATATATGCACACACACATATATATAATAATATATATATATATATATTGGAGACAGAGTCTTGCTTTGTCACCCAATCTAGAGTGCAGTGTTGTGATCTCAGCTCATGGCAATCTCCGCCTCCTAGGTTCAAGCAATTCTCCTGCTTCAGCCTCCTGAGTAGCTGGCCAAAATATATGAATATATATATATATATATATATATATATATATATATATATATTTGTGTGTGTCTGTTTGTTTTGAGATGAGACTCCCTCTATCCCTCAGGCTGGAGTGCAGTAGCTCGAGCTCAGCTCACTGCAAGCTCTGCCTTCAAACGATTCTCTTGCCTCAGCCTCCCAAGTAGCTGGGATTACAGGCACCTGCCACTGCGCCTGGCTAATTTTTATATTTTTAGTAGAGATGGAGTTTCACCATGTTGGCCAGGCTGGTCTCAGACTCCTGACGTCAGACGATCTGCCCGCCTCAGCCTCTCAAAGTGCTGGGACTGCAGGCGTGAGCTACTGCTCCCGGCCTGGAGTAACTTTTTAATTAATGGTTCTTTCTGGTTTCTTTTCTGTTGAAAACCTTGCTTGAATGCATATCCCTGTACATCAACCTTGTCCAGCCTGCAGCCTATAAGCCACATGTAGCCCAGGACAGCTTTGAATGCAGCCCAACACAAATTTGTAAACTTCCTTAAAACAGTTTAAGGTTTTTTTGCAATTTTTTTTTTAGCTCATCAGCTATTGTATGTGTTAGTCTATTTTGTATGTGGTCCAAGACAGTTCTTCCATGTGACCCAGGGAAACCGAAAGACTGGATACCCCTGCTGTGCATGCTTGCTCAAACATGTGTGGAAGGGTTTCACTGGCATAGCTATCAAGAAGTGAAACTGCTAGTTCGGCAGGGGCACACCTATATTAAGTATGAGCGGAAGCTGCCAAGTTGCCCTGCAGAACGGCTTTGCTCATTGATACGTCCATGAATTGCATGTGAGGGTATTCATTTCCCCGTCCTTGCTAAGCCTGAGCGTTAGGGTTGCCTAATTAGTTTTGCCAATCTGATGGGTTAAAAAAAAAAAAAAAAATGATTTGTACTTTTCTGATCACTATTGAAGTTGTGCCTATTTTCATGTTTCTTGGCCAGTCGGGTTTACCTGTATGTAAATTGTCTGTACCTATCTTTTGCCTGTTTTTCTGTTGATTTTTCTTTTTCATGCTTGCCTATACAGTATGCAGAGTTTTTCTTTTTTTTTCTTTTGAGAACTTTTTTACCTGTTCTGGTTTTTTTTTTTTTGTTTATTATATACTGTAAATGTTTTCATTGTATTATGGTGTGGTAGTTTTCCTGTTATTATAAATGTTTCTCCTACTTTTTGTTACTATGTTCACTGTTAATATTTTAATTAGTAACAAATACAAAGTAATATTCTAGGTGACAAATTTTTTTAGAAAGTATTTTTACTGCCGGGCGCGGTGGCTCAAGCCTGTAATCCCAGCACTTTGGGAGGCCGAGGCGGGTGGATCACGAGGTCGAGAGATCGAGACCATCCTGGTCAACATGGTGAAACCCCGTCTCTACTAAAAATACAAAAAACTAGCTGGGCGTGGTGGCGCGTGCCTGTAATCCCAGCTACTTAGGAGGCTGAGGCAGGAGAATTGCCTGAGCCCAGGAGGCGGAGGTTGCGGTGAGCCGAGATCGCGCCATTGCACTCCAGCCTGGGCAACAAGAGTGAAACTCCGTCTCAAAAAAAAAAAAAAAAAAAAAAAGAAAGTATTTTTAAATTACCATTTTTGGAAACCAGGGTTTATTATATGTAAATTTTTTTTTTTTTTTTACTTTTTTTTTTTTTTTTTTTTTGTTAGTTCATGTCTTTTATTAACTCAGTTACTTGTCTTCTGGTTTGTTGAAGCAGTAAGTCAGACAACACTTGCCACAATAATGTCTGTCAAAGTGGCTTGCCATAAACACTCCAGCACCACATTCATCAGAAGGGCACTCTCGACGAAGGCGACTAATTTTGCCATTCTCATCCACCTTATAATATTTCAGAACAGACAGCTTAACCTTCTTTCTCTTGTGCTTATTCTTCTTGGGAGTGGTGTAAGACTTCTTCTTCCTTTTCTTAGCACCACCACAAAGTCTCAACACAAGATGAAGTGTAGACTCCTTCTGAATGTTGTAGTCAGACAAAATACGTCCATCTTCCAGTTGCTTGCCAGCAAAGATCAGACTTTGCTGATCAGGAGGAATTCCTTCCTTATCCTGGATCTTGGCCTTTACATTTTCTATCGTATCTGAGGGTTCAACCTCGAGGGTGATGGTCTTCCCCGTAAGGGTTTTCACGAAAATCTGCATTTTGGTGGCGGCCCCACCTGAGGCGCAGATGGCGGATCTATTATATGTAAATTTTAAGAATTTTTTTCTGGTATCTTTTTTTTTTTTTTTTTGAGACAGAGTCTCACTTTGTTACCCAGGCTGAAATGCAGTGGCATGATCTCGGCTCACTGCAACCTCCACCTCCCAGGTTCAAGCAATTCTCCTGCCTCAGCCTCCTGAGTAGCTGGGATTACAAGTGTGCACCAGCACGTCCTGCTAATTTTTTTATTTTGTATTTTTAGTAGAGAGAGGGTTTCACCATGTTGGTCAGGCTGGTCTCGAACTCCTGACCTCATGATCTACCTGCCTCAGCCTCCCAAAGTGCTGGGATTGCAGGCGTGAGCCACCGCACCCAGTCTCTGGTATCTTATGTACTAAATCAATATGTTAAAAAAAAAAAATACTAGCTGGGTGTGGTTAAATACACATTCTGTTAAATACACATAACATAAAATGGTCAAGTTGTTTGTGTTTGTGTTTGTGTTTTGTTTTTCAATTATTTAATAAAACTGAGAGAGGGTCTCGCTATGTTGCCCAGGCTGATCTTGATTTCCTGGGCTCAAGCAATCCTCATGCCTCAGTCTCCCAAAGTGCTGGGACTACAGGCATGAGCCAGCATACTTGGCCTCCAAGTTTGTTTACATGAGAACAGATTGAATACTTTAAAAAAAAAAAAATTTAAGATGCAGTCTTGCTCGGTCGCTCAGGCTGGAGTGCGGTGGCGTGATCTTGGCTCACTGAAACCTCCACCCCCCTGGTTCAAGCGATTCTCGAGTCTCAGTCTCCTGAGTACCTGGGACTACAGGTGCGCAATGCCATGGCTGGCTACATTTTTTATATTTTTAGTAGAGACAGGGTTTCACCATGTTGGCCAGGCTGCTCTCAAACTCTGACCTCAGGTGATCGATCAGCCTGCCTCAGCCTCCCAAAATGCTGGGATTACAAGAGTGAACCACTGCATCTGGCCATACTACCTTATAAAAACACTTAAGGTAGCCACATTTTTTTGCCTAGTGAACATGGTTTAAACAAAATAATTAGTTTTTTTATTTATTTTTGAGACAGTCTCACTCTGTTGGCCAGGTGGAGTTCATTGGCATGATCGCAGCACAACCACAGCTCAGTGCAGCCTCAACCTCAGCCACCCAAGTAGCTGGGACCACAGGTGCATGCCACCATGCCTGGCTTTTTTTTTTTTTTTTTTTTTTCTTTTTGCAGAGACAAGGTCTCACTATGTTGCCCATGCTAGTCACCAACTCCTGGGCTCAAGCAATCCTCCCACCTTGGCCTCCCAAAGTGTTGGGGTTATAGGCATGAGCCACTGTGCCTGGCTTGAATTCTTTAATCTATCTAAAGTTACTTTTTGTGACAATTGGGAAAAGGGAGATTTTCCCCCCAAATAATTAGCTCATTGTTCCAAACAAATTTTTTGAATAGTTTCTCCTTATTTTACTGATAGGAAGTGCCACCTTTCACAAATACTAAATTGACTTGTATCTATTTCTAGATACAGTTTTTTTTTTTTTTGAGACGGAGTTTTTGCTCTCGTTACCCAGGCTGGAGTGCAATGGCGCGATCTCGGCTCACCGCAACCTCCGCCTCCTGGGTTCAGGCAATTCTCCTGCCTCAGCTTCCTGAGTAGCTCGGATTACAGGCACGCGCCACCATGCCCAGCTGATTTTTTGTATTTTTAGTAGAGACGGGGTTTCACCATGTTGACCAGGATGGTCTCGATCTCTCGACCTCGTGATCCACCCGTCTCGGCCTCCCAAAGTGCTGGGATTACAGGCTTGAGCCACCGCGCCCGGCCTAGATACAGTTTTGTTCCTATTTAGTAACGTATTTCAACAATTAGAACTTTTGCTATCCTATTTGACAGGAGCCTCCTCTTTGTTCTTTTTTTTTTTTTTTTGGAGAGAGTCTCACTCTCACCCAGGATGGAGTGCAGTGGCACAATCTCAGCTCACTGTAACCGCCACCTCCCTGGTTTCAAGCAATTCTCATGCTTCAGCCTTCCAAGTAGCTGGGATTACTGGCATGCACCACACGCCTGGCAATTTTTGTATTTTTGGTAGACAGGGTTTTGCCATGTTAGCCAGGCCGGTCTTGAATTCCAACCTCAGGTGATCCATCCACCTCAGCATCCCAAAGTGCTGGGATTACAGGCTTGAGCCACCACGCCTGGCCTCCCTGCTTCTTCAGAGTCCATTGACTCCCTGCCTGAAGTCTCTGCTTCCTTTGGTGTTAGGCTCCACTGGCCTGGCTCACTCTCTCGTCCTCCATGCCCTGTAACAGGCACCGCATGCGTGGGGAGACCACCCTCTGGAACCCTGGCTGTGACCATGCAGGCATTGCCACCCAGGTGGTAGTGGAGAAGAAACTATGGCGTGAGCAGGGGCTGAGCCGGCACCAGCTGGGCCGTGAGGCCTTTCTACAGGAGGTCTGGAAATGGAAGGAGGAGTGAGTATGCAGCATTCCTGTGGGCATCGCAGGCCTGCCTCCCTGTATGCTATCCAGAAGACCTCTGTCACGTGTAACCCCTGGCCAGAGGGTCAGACCCTCAGAAGCAGAGTCAGTTGTCTCTAGGGCTCAGGTCAATTTCAGAGGGATGCGTGAGCTCCATGCTGCTCCATCAGCCACCTGATGTCTCCCTCAAGCCCAGGCATGAGTACTGGCCCCAGCCTGTCTGTCTATTTCCAGGAAGGGTGACAGGATTTACCACCAGTTGAAGAAGCTCGGCAGCTCCTTGGACTGGGATCGAGCCTGTTTCACCATGGACCCTGTACGTGGGAGGGGTCTCAAAGCTGGGGCAGGAGTGGGAGGTTTCCCAGGGTGGGACCCCCACAGAAGAGAGCACAGGTGCTGCAGCCCTCTCTCAGGAGGTGGCCCACATAAAACACCATGGAAGGCTCAGCTACAAACGCCACTTCCCACCCCTTGCCATGGCCGTTTCTACGTCGTGGCCCTTCCTGTTCCCTGTCTCGGCTCTGAGACCTCCAGATTCCTCCAGATTGCACATGATCAGGACCCCGCCTCCCAGGGAGCCTGAACCCCCAGGGTCCTCTGCACCAGTACTTGTCCCCAGCTGAGTGTCTTCCCCGCCACCTGCAGCATCACAAGGCTTGTGGCCTGCTCTTGTGTTTCCTTAGTCCCCTCTCCCCCTCAAGAAAAGTACTCCCCTCTGAGGGGTCTCTGTGCTGGCCAGTGGGACTCTGTACGGGCCAGGCTTCACTGGACCCCTGGCTGTCTGCCTGGGCCTCCAGACACAAGGCCCATCTCTGACTTCTCCCTGCTCTACTCCAGAAACTCTCAGCAGCTGTGACAGAGGCTTTTGTCCGGCTTCATGAGGAAGGCGTCATCTATCGCAGTACCCGCCTTGTTAACTGGTCCTGCACCCTCAACTCCGCCATCTCTGACATTGAGGTGCGCCCCCCACCTGGCCTGTCTCCATCTCCAATCTACCCTGGCCCTGGCCCCCGGCCCACGCCTCTAAATACCCATTTTACAGGTGGATAAGAAGGAGCTGACAGGTCGCACCCTGCTCTCCGTGCCTGGCTACAAGGAGAAGGTGGAGTTTGGGGTCCTCGTGTCCTTTGCCTATAAGGTCCAAGACTCAGGTAGGAGCCAGGGGCACCAGGATCCTGGGCTGGGAGTGGCAGGAAGGGGCCAGGGCCGAGACCACAAGGCCTTTTGTCACCCCAGATAGCGACGAGGAGGTGGTGGTGGCAACAACTCGGATTGAGACAATGCTGGGAGATGTGGCTGTAGCTGTGCACCCCAAAGATACCAGATACCAGGTGGGGGACTGTCCACAGCTGGGGAAGGAATCCTGGCCAAAAAGGGCTCCCATACTTCCCGGGGTGGAGGGGTTGGGCTGAGGCCCCTGGCTGAGGAGAGGAAACTGGGTTAGAAACTGATCTTAGCTTCTTTGCCAGCTGTGACGGTGGAGCTGCTGGGGACTGTTTGGGGGCTTTCAGGTGTTGGGACAGTCAGGGCCCTGGAAAAGAAGGACTTGGGCCTAGCCCTTAGTGTATTTTTAAAGGTCTCGCTGTTAACCAGGCCTGTCTTGAACTCCTGGCCTCAAGGAAGCCTCCTGCCTCAGCCTCCCAAAGTGTGGGGATTATAGATGTGAGCCAGGGTGCCAGGCTCCTTCATGCATTTTTTTTTTTGTTTTTTTTTTTTTAAAGAGTCTCACTCTATTACCCAGGCTGGAGTGCAGTGACACCATCTGGGCTCACTGCAACCTCCACCTCCCAGGTTCAAGCAGTACTCGTGTCAGCCTCTTGAGTAGCTGGGATTACCGGAACGCATCACCACACCTGGCTAATTTTTTTTATTTTTTGTTTTTGTGTTTTTGAAACAGAGTCTCACTCTGTCGCCAGGCTGGAGTACAGTGGCGCTGTCTCGACTCACTGTAACCTCCACCTCCTGGGTTCAAGCGATTCTCCTGCCTCAGCCTCCTGAGTAGCTGGGACTGCAGGGATGCACCACAATCCCCACAATCACATTATACAATCGTCTTCTTTTTTTTTTTTTTTTTTTTGAGATGGAGTCCCACTCTGTCACCAGGCTGGAGTGCAATGGCTCGATCTCAGCTCAATGCAACCTCTGCTTCCCAGGTTCAAGTGATTCTCCTACCTCAGCCTCCCAAGTAGCTGGGACTACAGGCACGTGCCACCACGCCCAGCTCTTTTTTTTTTTTTTTTTTTTGAGACGGAGTTTCACTCTTGTTACCCAGGCTGGAGTGCAATGGCATGATCTCGGCTCACCGCAACCTCCGCCTCCTGGGTTCAAGCAATTCTCCTGCCTCAGCCTCCCAAGTAGCTGGGATTACAGGCGCATGCCACCATGCCCAGCTAATTTTTGTATTTTTAGTAGAGACAGGGTTTCACCTTGTTGACCCCAGGATGGTCTAGATCTCTTGACCTCATGATCCACCCGCCTCGGCCTCCCAAAGTGCTGGGATTATACGTGTGAGCCACCGCACCCGGCCTCATTTTTGTATTTT